GTGATTTGGCAATAGCTTTTGGTGCACCACCAAACGTATTGACTCCAATAGGCTGATTGATGCATTCTCCATCACAGTATCTGATAAAAAATCTATCCAGAGTACAATTTGGTGGACGTAACTTAATGTATTTCTTGCATACATCATACATAGGGCCACTAATGGTAAATTTTCTGGGGACTACAGATTTTGGTTTTCAAATATCCGCGATCATGACATCATCATAATCTTGAACATCCTTTGTCTTCAGATTGACAAATTCGCTTCTTCTTAACGCACCAGAGATCCCAAAAATTAATATAACTTTTAAACATAAATCTTTCTGATCTGGAGCCTCATTTAAAAATTTTGATATTTGTTCTTTTGTGAATTCTTTTGACGTTTTACGTATATAACCTTTACTGTATTTCCTTAAAAATTCTGTCAATCTTTTATAATCACCAATGTTAATATTATCATAGCTATTGATAGTTGATTTAAGCATGGAATATGTTGACCAAAGGCTTATAGGTTTATACTTATTTGACAAAGAAGAAAAGTACACAAGTAGCACATCTTCTTCAAAAGAATTTGTTTTAATTTCTTTTCGCCATTGTTTAAATTTATTATACGCTTGCGTATACAATCTTTTTGACTTTTCTGGCAATGAGTTCAGAGTTACATCCTTGGCTGCTTGTCGTATAAATTCTGGCACTTCATTTTCTTTATCGCTACTAGAATCACTTGTCATCGAATCCATTTTTGTTTTTGAATTCGAAACGGAACTTCATTACAGCCAGGCGGCCAGTGCTGATCTGCGTATCCAGGGCATACCTCGCTCTGTTCCGCATTACACATCGGAGGCACTTCGTGGTATCTTCATGTCAGCCCTGGGTGTTATTGGGGCCCCTCGAGGATCCTCGAGGATGTCCTCGAGTTCAGACTGTTCGGCGAGGATCCACCGCCGTGCGTGGCCTCGGGCGACTTGCCCGCGCCCTCGTTCTCGATTGTAGCCGTCTTCAAGCAGCCGGCGTCGCGTGCTTTTGCCATGAGGCAAAAGCATCGTCATGGCAAGGTCTTGTCTTCTTACCTTGTCCCTGGTAGTCCCGCCGCCAAGGTTTGTTTTTACGAGCTGTTACCGGGGCCGATCTATCGATTTTTCCATGCCGCCAAGGCTCATGGCAGGCAGCGTGGCTACGTGGCTGTATGGTGCGACGAATGTCGTATTTACGCACGCAAATCGACCGGCTCTAAGCTCATCAAGCTGGTCATGGAGGCCGACCTGGATCTTCTCGCATGACAATCGGGGCGTTTGCGCTCGAGGGTTGGGGAGCTGCAGTCTCAGCTTTGGGTTATGCAGACCAACGCCCATTCTCGCCCATATCGCCAGGGATTGTCAGTGGATGTGGGATAAAAAAGATGACCCCCAGAAAAGTTGCAAGCAGACGGTGATACGTATGAAGCAAGAAGGACTGTTGATTGATGATAATTTTAAACCTGCCGCATTTGGAGTAATCCAGAAATGGTATCAAAACGACCGAAACTGTATATTTGTGTATATTTTTAAATTTCTCCTGTTGTCAATCTATTAATTTGATGTTAATAAACATAATTTATTGCTCTTTCTTGCCTTTATGCACTTACTATAATATTAATTCATGCTTTATGTTTATGCTCCAATATTTTTATATTTACTACTGTTGAAAAATGTATAACTGTTGTCACTATAATAATTTATACAAGCTAATGAGCCCTACGTCACTTCGCGTCTGGGCGTAATAAATAACTCATCAATCAATCAATTAATCAACTCCAGCGGCTCCTGGTGGCAAAGGATCGAGCCGACATCGTTCGCGCAAAACACGCTGCTCCCCAAGCCAAGGCCCAGGCGTCGACCTAAGCTTCAGCATCGGTCGATGTTCCCGCCACTCAAGCACCAACCAATGCCAACGAAGCGCACCAACGCGAACGTCAATAAGAAGAGCGTCGTCGGCATGAACTTCAAGATCGTGCTCAAGGCCTCCGAGGAGGCTTACCGGGACGAACGCCTGGAGCAATAGCGTCACGAGCGAGCTGTAATCGCCGCTCTGCACGTCACCGCGCAACAAGAGAAGTATTGGGCAATGTGACTCGACATGGCGATGCAGGACGCTATTTAACTCACACATTGATCAACTCATTCGCGTGAACCACACTTTCGCTCTGTGCCATCTAGCGGCGACACAGCTCACTACAATACACACATCAATATTAATTTTTGTTATGTAAAATAGTAGTTTTTAGTGCGGTATGTGGTATTTTTTAGATTGGTAAGATTATAGTAATATTTAGCATGCACATAGTAGAAAATGCCCATAATCCGACTCTGAGACACTTGTACTAGCGAATATAGTAATTTTTGCTTGCGAATATTCAATATAGTATTTCTCTCCGTGCAGATGAATCTATAAATTTAAGTTTATGTCATCTTTTTATTTTGAATTTTTAAAGCATTAATTTTTTCTTTTCTTCATTTGTACTAGAGAATATAAACTAAACTCTATTGAACGTGTTATTAACTAATTAAATCTATGTGAATTAAAGATTCAAGTATTAATATGTATTGCTAATAGCAGAAATATAATAGAGTTAATTACCTTCATCTTTATATAATTTTACTTATCATTTAGCTTTATCTTATTCTTAACCTGAGAAAGATTTTGTAATTAATGGTATAAAGAACAAAGAGAGGCTTGAAAAGCATTCATGCGGACATCCATTTTAATAAAATTTTTTTAAAGAAAGGCGGAACCATACAGGTCATTGAGGCAAGTAAAGCAAATATTTTTTATCCTCTTAAAAATATTTTCTTAGCACTATCATCAGGAACAGTAATTCCAATGTGGAAAAAAAAATTTCCCGACAAATTACGAGTCTTGAATATAGCTTAATCAAAAAGCAATGGCACATAAATTGTTCACTCTTATACTGTATAAATTACATTATAGAAAAAATTAGTAGATAATTGATTGTCTTATATGATGCGAATAGATTTATTAAAAAAGTTGGAAGTATTAATTGCATGAATGACCTATCTTACGGTTCAATAGTTTTATAACTCTCTAGAGCAAAGCGTGATTTAGTGTTACACGATATAACCATCTCCACGTATCGTAAATTGACTTTCAGAAACTTCATATAATCGAGTTAACATCGTGAGATCTGTGGACCAAAAAGAAAATATTTAGTACAAATAAGACGTCGACTAATTATAAACTTTGAGCTCGTCTTTTCCTTTTACGGGTGAATATTTTTATCGTCACCATGATTAGTTTTTTTGCTTCGCCAATTTGATTAATTAGCTTTTACTGCACTAGCTTCAGTAATGATAATTGAAGGGAATAAACAGTACAAAGCTGCTGTTGCTTCGAATGCAATTTCTTCGCTGTTACTCGGGTCTGTAAAAAGAAGAAATATGTATTTTTCAAAACAATCGTAAAAAAATAACGCCTCAATCTAAACTTCCACGTCCAGCGTATCAAAAAAAGGCAACTTGTAAAAAGCAACGCTCGCATTATCTAAACTTATTTCTGCGCACTGATGCTGCTGCTGCTCTCGAGCTTTCATCTAAGAGGCTGCGCAGCTAATTGCCCAAAATGTTTCATTCATCGGAATCTTCCATTGATCATCTGCGATGTCTGCAAGGGACGAGCATTAGCTCGAGCCCTAATGACGAGAAAGCTCCCTTACATTACTTTAGCGGCCTTTACTAGTAGGTAATCGCGCGACTTAGAGGTCTTGCCGAGCAAACGCGGCTTACATTAATGGGATGCGATCAAGAGCGAGACTGCTGCTAAGGTATACCTGAAATTCATAAAGACTTTGTCACTTGAGAGCCCTTGATAAATTTCACAGAGCCGTCAAACATCAAACGAAAATATCGGAAAAATATCAAAAAACATCTAAAAGCCACACGCCACGAAATCTTCAATAGCTACGAATAATAATTTTTCATTTTCAATCTCACAAAACTACGCTTCGCTATCTTTCGATTTATGCAGATAACGTACTTTAATATCGGAGTTATTTACATTTTGAATGAAACTCTCGCCTCGCGCATTTCAGAACTTCAACTTTGAGCGACATTCCATCGTATCGGCGATTCTTGGTGTTGTTCATACAGGGCGCGTATTTTAACTTTGTCACTGAATGAAAAAAAAGAAAAACAGATTCCTGGTGAAAGCAAACAAAAAAAGAATTTTTAGCGCGCGTGTATAGCCCCTTGCGACTTTATTACATTTTTTGCTTCGTCAAATGTTGCGATTCGATTTTTCACTTTGCATGTAACATATTTGTACGTGGTTCTTTAAATTTTTTTCTACAAAGGTTTAGATATTTTCACATTTTATGAGCGAATACTTTTACTTTTGAGTGAAAAGTTTCGCCTGTAAGTAAATAATCCCTTTAGCTTACTTGGAGTTATCGGAAAAATATTTTGCGCGGGAGACGATTTATAAATTAATTGTAATCGTCTCCGCAAAGTAGAATTTCATTCATTTTTCTTATCCATCAGACCAATCAACGAGCAGTACTCTTAGTCGAGAAAATCGTTCATTAGTGCCAATGATTTCTCGCTATCGATATCACATCGATAGTCAGCTCACGCCCCTCGTAATTTATTGTAATCGAAATAACTATAACAGCTCGAGGCCGGTCGACGGACGGGCTGAATTTCGGGGGAGAGAGAGAGAGAGGGGAAAAAGCACGAGAGCGTGAAAAGGATACGGGCGATCGGAGACGGGGTGTAAGTAGCGCGGACATGATATTCCTAGCCCACAACACGTGCCTCCGCGAGGACTATACAACTACTGCTGCTGCTGCTGACGCCGCTGCTGCCTCGCACATAGAGACTTGCGCACAGAGAGGCGCCCTGTAGTAACGCAACCGCTCCGGTACGAGTGTTACAACGGCGAACGTTGCACGAGAGAGATCAGTCAGTTGCCCGGTGTCTGCGTGACGTGATTCGAAGCTCTCTCTCGCTCTCTGTTTCTGCTGTGCGTGTTATATATACCTCGCGGCGATCGGTGCGCGAGTGTGTCTGTGCTTTTTTGTCACATGTAGTGCGTTACGCTTCTCTGTTGATATTTTATCTCTGTGGTGAAAAATTCAAGTGATATGTAGCTATTGGGCGGTGAGGATTCAAGATGCTTAGTGAATTATGATTAATACATAGTAAAGAGTGTTACATTTTTTCAGAAAAGAAATCGTTTTTACGTAAGTTTTCATTTCGTAATTCAATGTAATTTTATATTTTAATATTTGGATATTTTAATGCAAAAATACTCGAGATACTATTAGGAATGATATCGAACGAAAATTCTTTGTGAATATTTATAATGATCTCCAAGCATGACATTTTTTTTCAATTTTTCCCACGTGATATCTCTCAAAATACTTAGCTAAGCCACTTTTCAAAACACGCTCAAAGGAAGTGGATTCTTCAAGGATCTTCACGTACAAACACCCCTTTCATGGTACCTTTTCACGGCGCGGTTTATTATAATGTCAAAAGAGATCGCTATATATGCACGCGCGGCCTGTTCTCCGGTCGGGACAAATTTTACAACACAAAAAAAAAAAAATTTTCGGTGACCATGAGGGCGCACATATACATTCTTCCAGTCACGTCTTGAGGAAGTGAAAATGAAATAATGGCATAAAAACTGGGGCCGCGCGAAGTGAAGTATGAATTGGACCAGGTCCCAGCGTATAATCGCACTTTGAGAGTACACGCAGCTTTGCACACGCACACGCAAAAAAAAAAGTAGTATAAGAATGGTAAAAGGAAGCGAATCTAAAGTTTGCCCGATAAAAAAGCATTAGCTGCTCTTTCCGTTGGCGTGTATAGCATGAATAGAGCCTCGCTCTCTTTCTCTCTCTCTCTCTTCTCCCGCTGTATCTTGAAAAGTCGTCGGAGAGATTTTTTTGCGTTCAACTAGACATTAGCAAGTCAATTGCGAACCGAGATAAAGATATGTTAAACAAGCTGTTGTTCATTATAATGTTTTTTCGAAAAGTTCGAGGAAAGTATAGTTATGCTTTATGGCCGATGCCGTAAGAGCGAAATAATCATCCTGAAAAGTTCCCATCAAATTTCGAATTGCGGCATAATTATCAAACTTTGTTTGACGCATTTGTATTCAAGCCGGAAGGTATGTAACGTATCGCGCGCGGGCGCCTTTATACTACTGTTGACTTTGTCACGTCTTTATGCGCATCCGGATAGAATAATATCTATTTGATACTATTAAATTACACAAATAGTCGAGTGATTGATCGCCTTTTGTACTGGGGATCTATGACGTCTACGCGCCGCCTCGTACGCGTTCATACGTATACGAGTAATCTCAGAATTCGGTCAAGACTCGGAGAGCTGAAATATTTGCTCGAGCCGTGCGCGATGTATTTCTGCAATCGATAGCTCGATTATTTTTCCCATCATCTCGTGTACGCGCGTATACATATAAAAAAAATCCATTATAAATCTACACCTTCAGTTGTCAGCCGTATAATGATTATTTGCAGTGCTCTACATTTTCGCTCGAGTGTGTAAGTCAGTACCAATAACAAGTGCTGCGGTAGTTAATATAATCCATACCCCATCCAACACCATCGGCAGAATCTCGAATATCTCCGAACTTTTGCCTTTCGTCTCGTACCCCGAGACAAATTATAAGGATCGTAATTGGAAAGAAAAAAATATGCAGCTGATGTTGCGAGACGCGAGCGAAATACCGGATCAGTATATACCGCAGATAACGGAAATTCTCATCGGCTATGGGAACGAGACGCGCGACTTTTCCAAGCCTCTGCTGGATCCGCACTTCGCCAATACGTATCCCGTCTTCGTGGCCATTTACGGGGTCTTGATTTTGGCCAGCAGCCTGGCGAACTTCGCCATGATCAGGCACATCTTTTACCACAAGCTTCACAAGGAGGCGACCTGCGCCTTTCTGGTGAACATCTCGCTGGCCAACTTGTTACACGTCATGTTCGTTTTGCCGCTCACGCTGGAAGTCATATTGACGAAGAATTTTATATTCGGACAGTTTATGTGTTACTGCCTGCCTATGTTACAGGTGAGTTTCATTGATTATATTAAACAATTTTTTAAGTTTTTAAGACGCGCTTCTATGTTAATGCCAAGCTCTTGTACACAAATCGCCACGAGCTTTTCGTAAAGCTTTAGAGCCTTTCAGTTGTATATATAGCTCATTTGGCTCGGTTTATGTATCCGATAGGCAGTCTTAAAAAATAAATATAAACATTTAAGATTAGAAAGGGAGAGTTTCCCAATTTTCTCCGAGTTTCGGTACTATTTCAGGGTTTATCTGGGCAACCTTCGGTAGGATTTGCTTACGATATCAATGACATGATCGAGTAATTCGTGTAAATCTACACAACGTGTACCGGGGACATTTATACCTCTTGAGAATTTATTCATGCGGGGCTGGTTCTGATCCAAACTGCTAAAAGTAGCGAGCCACTATATATTTTGGAGTGGGATCGTCGAGCACAAAAAATAAATATAGGTGAAAATCTCATAATAGACAGTTAGAATTTAGAATTAACGCGGAAAAATTTCGCTCGAAGCTTTTTTTATTAGCAAATAAAATCTCGAATACAATTTTAACAATTTTTATTATTTATATAATCCACGAATTTTGTTTCGTGGTACGGAAAAAATTTAACGAATTACGGCAAGATTTAACATAAAAAACTAGATCCGTACTTTACTTTTTTTCTATTACCGCTGGAATACGGGGAAATTACTCTAGTTTGCATCATGCTGCAGCAAGTAGACTCATAAAATTTTCATACAAATTTAAATTCAGAGCCGACTTAAGAATTGCCACCTGCACATTTATACACATAAAGCTGCACGACAGAAAATTTCGTAAATAGAAAAAAAAATTGAAAAAATTTATTTACTGTTACTAAAGCTGTTTCACTCCGGTATTAGATAATACGATATTTTTGCACCGCAGCGATTTTTTCAGATAGATACACTTTTAAATTAAGTTATTGATGGATATCTAAATGGTTTATATCGAGTAAGAAAAATCTACGTCATAAATGAAAATGTATAGTTCGAAGCCACTGTGACGTTCCATAAATCTTGATCGATAAATAAAAGGATAAGGGTTTTAAAAACCAATAGCGGTCACAGAACATTTCTTCTATCATCTTCGCCTTTTTTTCTTTGCCTTAATTTAATATTCTGATTACGAGCCACTCGGGGGCGAGCTCAAAGTTGCGAAGAAAAAACTGTTAATTAACGTTACAAGAAATTTCTTACTAAGCTGGTGTCCGCCTAGAGGTACAAGAAAAAAAAGAACAAGAAAGAGTCTCGGGTTAGGTCTCGTAAAAAAGCACGGGGGAAAAAAAGCTCACCCTCGGAATTATCGCCCGATCTGCATGCTAAAGCCACCGCCACGCGCCGCACCAACACAGATAGACTGGGAAAAACTTCTCAAGGGGAAAAGACTCCTTTGAAAAATAGTTATGTGTGTTTGTGTGTCGGGCTGGAGGCGATTCAGCGCGATAAGAGTCAGTGTGCGGTGGATACACACCGAGTTCGCGCGCGCGATACGCACGTACAGTCTAATGTACAGAATATAATATCGATTTATACATATAGCAAATACCGTCCCCGTGAGCAATGAGCGCGCAACGTTAAATACTCGAGGTAAACGCGTTTGAGGTGGCTTAAAAAGAATCTAGCTGGGTACCGTTGGAGAAAAAAAATTTGCTCGACTAATTTGCAGTAGTGCACTAAAGATGAACAAAGGATATGAACTTTAAGCTAGGCAGATAAAGTGACTACGATGTAGCTAATATAAAAATCAGATTATAAATAAAAATTATTCATAATACCAGTCACGCAAAGGCAACTTGTAAAAAAAAAAACAATTTCACACGAGCCAGACCATGACAAAAAATAGGAAATGAAAAGAAGTTTTGTCGGATACAGAGACTCGGAGGAGAAATATGAAAAAACGCATCGACGCGCTTACAGCAGCAGCAGCAGCAGCAGGATGTGCAAGCGATAGGTTGTACGGTCTCAATAGATTTATCGTCGGAGCTGTGTAGGCGAAAATACAATATATATAATACAGTACAGCTGTATGGAAGGGTATTATTGTCGCGTTACGGCATGAAGATTGATCTTTGCCCGGCTTTCTTTCGCGCGTTACAGAGAGAAGTAGGAATTTTTATGAGTAAAATAATCATTTTTTCAGCTCCAAAGGGTTGAATTGAGTTGGCGATGTTCGTTTAATATTGTCCGATTGAATTAATGTTTTAGTATCGAGTCATCGGTATACGATGTTATCGTTCGAAGAAAAATAAAAAAAAAATAGGATAGATAAACGAAGAATAAAATACGATGATCATAAAAGACGCAGTCCGAGAGCATTGTTGAAAAAAAAACCTGATACACAAATAAATAAAAACAAAGCGACGAGAGTCCACATCACCGTAAGACCGAATCAATGCAGCTACGGATGAGAGCTTTCGAACTTTATGTGTACGCTCGTTCACCGCGAGAGCACACGCACACACTGACAAGTGGGCAAAAAAATCCGTCGTTCGTCTATGTATTTTCCATCATTTTTATTTGCTTCGGAATCATCAAGGACGACGACGTTTTTCCCCGCTCGCGTAACATATAAATAATATATATCGGGGATGTAACACGTGGCCTTCGGCATTCGTAATAATAATTAATAAGACCGTGTGTAAACGAATCTCAAATCGCACTCGCAGCGATTCATTGGTTTTTTGAAACGCGATACATTCGCTGAATTCGGTCAACGATCCCCCCCCCTCCCTTTTCAATCTCTCTCGTCAAGCCGCGTGTGCGTCAATTTATACGTTTGATTATATTTGTAAACGGTTTTTCTTTTCGACAGGACACACCGATACACGTGACCATGATGACGTACGTGCTCATCGCCGCCGACAGGTATCGATTCTTAATCGACCCGCGCAAGGCCAGAATTCCGGCGTTCGTCTGCGCCATGGGCTCCTGGTTCTTCGCCATCTGCTTGGTGCTGCCGTTCCCGGTCTACACGTCTTACTTCGACGCCGCGGTAATGATCTCTGCGTATCGCGTAATAATCCCAGCCATTTTCGCGTGTATCATAATATTCCCATTATCGACCTCCCCCGTCGCGATGTATAAAATATTTGTTTACCTTTACTTTTACTTCTTTCTCTCATTAGGTATCGCCGCTTCTTCGTGGGCTTCAGCTGTGCTACGCCAATTTAATGGACGATATCAAGGAGTACATGAGAAGTTTATTCATTGGAACGTGAGCATTGCAATTTCGCTAAATTATACAAATATTTCAATTACCAATCTAGATACGGAGTGGCAAGTGTGCGCGCGCGCTCAAACATTATGCGGTCTTGGCAAACAAAATTCTGCAAAATTCATTTGCCTCTGCGTATAACGAGTCGCGATGGCTTCGGAAGTCGCATAAAATGATTTCTTAACTCGATTATATAAATTCACAACCCCCGCGAACATCTTTATTCTGTTCTAGTTACTTGGTCCCGTTAGCACTTATCATGTATTTATACGTCAGAGCGTCTCGAGAGCTGGAGAGACACGAAACTTTAACGGCTCTGGCTACCTTCAAAACGAGACTAAAAAAAGTGAGCAATCCCGCAGAGAGGCAAAACAGTAACACGAGTTCCGATGTGTAAGTGGGTTACGATTTTTTTATTTTTTTGTATTTTCCATCTACGCGAAATCGACTTTATCAATGGTCAATTTGCGAGTAATTCTTTTTCGTGCAACATTTTTTTTTACAGCGTTGCTATTCACACGAAACGCGAGGTTGGATATCCAAAAACGAGCGGCGGAACTATTTCCGCCGTTTTCGAAATCGAGGAGTGCGACGTTGACGTGCGCAAAGAGAAGCGAACGCAAAAATATCTCATATGCATGGTCGTTGCGTTCGCCGCGTGCCTGGGCCCCTTGATGCTTCTCAGGTACTTGAAAACGTCATTAATTCGATATAATTCCTTTTTACTGATCTTCTGATTATTTTCACCTCGGACGGAGAGAGAAATTAAAAATAATTGAAAAAATATTTTGCCCGCAGACTCATAAGACCGGCAATAAAAGAAACCTATTATAACACGCACCACGTCGGATTAGTTTATATTGCCCTCGTTTGGATTGCGTTTCTGCCGTCGTTATTGACTCCCTGCTTTTACGCGCAGTGGCAAATGAAAAGGTAAGTCTGAAAAATTGAATGTGTCCCGTGTGTGTCTTACGAAAAATATTTTCCTTTTTCTAAGCCTTTGTTTTCTTTTCATTCTTTTTTAAAGAATAAAGGGCAAGCTCGAATATATTGTTTCCATCCCCGATGCGGCAGCTTTTTTATAAGTTTCGAGAAAAAAACAGTGAAAAATTTTTTGTAAACAAAGTTCGTAAAGATTTTTGCGAAATATCAACAACAACAAAAAATAATAAGAGTGTAAAATAAAAAGTTTCTGAAAAACACGAGTTATATTTTTATGTTTTATGCTTATACCATTAAAAATTTTGAACAAGTTTACGTCACGATTACACGGATTAAAATAACAATTATGCTCGTTTGCCATCTTCATTTGCAATTTTCCATTATCTTCATGAACGTAATGATTGTTTATGCTGATTAATTATTCAGCAAAACGGGATAACAAATTTAGCTGCTGCTATACAGTTTTGGATCTGTCGGTACTGCGACCCGAGCCCTGAAGTGTTTCTGCCCCCTCCGTTATATATGTATCCGAAACTGATTTATCTTGAACCGAATTAAGTTGCATTTAATTTAAATATTTAAGTTAAAAGCTCGAGCTTACTGACGCCGTTAATCCGCTGGCGTTGAAAAGTTTAACGTAAATTGAGTCCCTTTTGTTTTTGTTTTGGGCGAATATCGCGCGATTATTTTTTTCGTGGTACATAAATCTTTCATCCTCATCTTGAAAGAAAAAAAGTTAATTGCTCGACTTGTGGAGAGGCACGGCGACGGCAGCAGCATCTCTCGTTATGATGTATTATGTCTTTTAAAATTTTACAGCGCTTGCAAGCCCCGCCACAGCTCGCTAAGTGGTGAACTTTCGATTTTTACGCGCACCGAAATATGTGAAAACTTCCTTTTTGCGGGACTACGCGAGCCTCGTAACCCGTCAAAAACAAGTTATTTTTCATATATTTACCTCGAGGGGAGGAAAAAAACTTTCATATTAATTACGGTTCAAAATTTCTTAAGTTTGCCTTTCTTGCTGCACACACATACACGCGGACGGACGGGCGGGCGCGGGGGTGTTGTAGGTATATGCACGTGCGCGTCTGTTACATAAACTCGTGTATAGTTTTAGAATACGTTATATAGCAGTATAGTTTGCAAACTAGTTTGCACTTGGTGCCCCCGACCTTTTGTTCTCCAATAACCGTATATGCATTATAGCGCGCGTGTTCTCGCTATTGAAATCAAAATTTACAATGAAATCATTGATCAAAACACAAGCTGTGACGCGATATTGTCGGTGTATTGTGTCGCTCTCGCGCGCGTATGGCCCTACCTAACGTCGGCTACAGCAAGCGACCAAATTTCCATCAACGCCCTGATCCTTTGTCACGTCGAGCGCGTCGAGTCAAGTCGCGAGTCGACGAGAAGAAGCTGACCATCATCCGCAGCCCGAAATAATCACTCTCTCTCTCTCTCTCCCGTCGCATGTGCCAAGATTTTCCAGGTTTCTCTCCTCGAGACGCTCGACCGGCGTCAGCGGCGCCAATCAGCAGCGCTGCGGGGGATCGTCCTCGATGCTCGACGACCAAGACGACGATCAACGCCGTCTGCAGCGCCGATCGCACGTCAGCAGCTCGTGGTGCAGCGAGGCCGGCACCGTGGCCAGTGTCTCGTCCGGCCAATTGTGCCCTGTCGGAGCGAGGATCGGTGGTGCCGGTGGCATCTGCAGCAGCACCACCAACACCACCGTGATCAGCTGCTCGTCCATTCCTCACGTCGAGGCCGCCGCCGTTGCCGCACGACTGCAGATGCAGCAGCAGCAGCAGTCGCTGGTGCCGATTAGCCATAAATCCTACAAGAGTAATCTCGCGCGGTAAGATCGATTTAATAGGGACACGCGCGAGCGCTACGTTTGAATTGAAAATTCGGGAAGAAGCTGAGACGAATTGTAACGTCGCGCGACGAAGACGTATTGGATTCCCCGTGTACATATATAATTTATACATTGTAGATACATAAGATGCGAGTTTACGATATCGTTGAATTGAATATTTTATTACGGACGAACGCTTGGAGGGACTCTTGCAATGAGTTTGCTTATTAATATTCATAGTAAGTAAGTATATTTTTTATGATCAAAAAAAAAAATTTTTTTTACATCATTGATAGAAAATCTCGCTCGCTAATTAAATTCATTGAAGCATTTATTCTCAGTTATTATTAAGAAAAGGTATTTATTATTATTAGTCCAATCAGTATAATGAATTACATTTTGTTACCATCGCACGAAAGAGCGATCTTCGTCATTTATTCATAAAAGCAAGAAATAAGATGTAAATTGGAATTTTTATTCTGATTCGACGATAAAATAAAGAGGTAAAAAGCCCTTCGAGGATCGATAAGATATCCCTTGTAAAACACAAATTCAGCCGTCGTCGTAAACTTCCGTGAAAATGCATTAAAAGAAAGTAAAAAGCCCTGGATAAGCTATTGATCTGTTTACGACGAATTTTTTTTTAATTTTTATTTTCACTTCGATTTTTTTCCAATTATTTTATGAATAAAATATAACATAAAATCTCATTTCCAAGTTGAATGAGGTAACAGTTTCGGGCGGACCCTTCACTCGATGGCGTCTTAGAGCTTTTAATGCGTTGCATAGTACTTGGAATCTCGAACGTAAACCGAGGACCAATAAAGCGAGCCAGGTGTAGTGGGAAAGCGAATAAAGTGAAATACCATATGTTTACGAACAATAGAACATACAATAGAAGTCGTCATTTCCGTGAAAAAAAAAAATTTTCCTTTTTTTTATAAAAATGAGATTATTCAAAAGATGCGAGTAATTTTGATTTTAAATTCAAATGGAAAATCGCGACGAGAGGTCGAATACTTACGAAATTTTAATGATAGGAATTATATCCGAATAAAAAATTAAAAAAAAAAAAGATCTCCTCGTTGTTTTTCGTTAAATGAGATGAAATAATAAATATTGCATTAAAAATTACATTAACAAGCAGCAGGAACAGGGAGAATAATAAATTCAAACTCACATACGCAATTAGTAAATCACACAGGTGAACAAAAGCGAGACAGTTTAAACGTTACGACGCGGTACACGAGCCGAGATTATTTCGATAAAAGCATCTGCCCTCTAAAAAAAAAAGAACGAAGATTTAGGGCAGAGGGTCACCAAAAAAAACTGGAGATTTAGGAGTGGAGCATGGCAACGTTAACTAATGCGGTCCTACAAATCTAATAATACTTTTATAAGCCGATCGTGCAAAAACAAAAGCTACTAGTACTCTCAAGACGGTGCATTAATACCGAATAGTTCGTAACAAAAAGCGAGCGGGTGGTGCAGAGGTAACTTTGCCAACGAGCACAGGAGTAGAGAGAGATAAGTTGACAGACGTAACTTTGACATATTGTTGATGTCTTTATACGCGGTAAGTAAATTATTATTTGTGTAAGTTATGAGAGCATTTAGATAGATGCAATCTGTAGTTTGTTAACATGCAGCAAGAGTTGCGTCAGATGGAATTGACGTCGTTGAAATTTCGCCGCGACAACGACGCAGGGACGCGAGTTTATACATGCAGAGATTTATGCGCTGAAAAAACAACAAACAAACGCGACTTTGTTTAAATAGTACTAACGAGTTCATTTTCTAGTGTTGTTTTTTTTTTTTTTTTTTTAGTTTTGATTCATCCTCAAGGTAGTATTATATTACTAACGAGAAACAACTGGTAAATCCCATCGGGATACAGCCCGGATTTTCCGATACCATTCGTCGGAAGAGGCAAACGAAACTTTGCGTATATATATGCGCCACAGCTAGTAAAACATGGCAAAACTTTCAGCTGCAGTATGCGCGTAATTCGCGTACGTGCGTATGAGTATTGCAAACGAATTTCCGAAGAGCATGTATAAATAAAATATATGTATAATTCTTTTTTCAATTCACGACTGTTATTTGACCTGTATAAATAAATGAATGGGAAAGAGAGAAAGGTAGGGAGGAAGGGAGACGAATATGAAATTACACGCATCCAATATTTGCCTTAAAAATTATTCCTCGACGGCCCGAGGTGGTATGGAAACGCGATTTCTCCAAAGGCGAATATTTCCTCGCACCTAGTTCGAGTTGAATTGATTAACAGTCACACAAGTATCTGATTCACGAGTTAATAATCGAGAAGTTGTTAGCACATAAATAGGATTTCGGTAATTCGAAACTTTTATGTGGTTCGAGGGTATGATTCAGATTTAGAAATGATCATCGCTACTAACATACGCACTGAAGGTATCCATTCGTAAAGCACACGTTATCGAGCAAAATGAGGATGGGTGGGAAAAATGCACATTCTCAGCGCTTCTTCTCTGCCCTCATGCTGAAACGTTTTGCCCCTGCGATCCGACTTCCAGCTGAAAGTATAAAAATGAGCTTTTTACCTGGTTAGGCTCTAATATATTTATGGCCGCCAAGGGAGTGACTTGTGTTACCTGACTCAGGAATTTACGCGGAGAAATAAAATGAAACTCTAATCATCGTCACTCTTTTGTTTTAAAATTGAAATGGCTATTCGAGAGTAGTTTTAACTGTAGTTTTATTAATATTTATTCGAATCAATTTTTAATTTATAGATATATCTATATTAAAAAGTATCTCGACATAAAAAAAGTTTAATATATAACTGAATATCAGCGATCATCAAAGATATTTATGGCCCTATTGTAGAGGTATTCCATTGAACAATGGCAATACAATTAAATCGGTGAACAATTGCAGGCTTGTAATTTTCATTTTGAATGAAGCTGGATCCTTTTTTGTCACCCACAATCGAAATTGCTTTTTGAAAAATTCGGTAAATGGCGAGAGAAGCTCTTTAATTGCGAAGTACGAAATAAAACAATAAGGATTATACTTCGAAATCTAATTTATTATTACTTTTTTAAAGGTATTTATTTTTCATTCAAATCTTGTTTCATACATTATGCTAGATTAATTTCTTATATTAATTATTTTTCTAATTGATTTATTATTTAACATAGCGTAAATAAAATTGATGTAATTTAAAATTACTTTTATCGCCATGCAGAATTGATCAATATGAGACCCTCAAAACGTTCAGAAATATTTGAAAATTATCATCAATGTGATGTATGTTTTACAATGAAACTGTAATAATAACTGTTATAACTTTAATTATTTATAACAGAAAATTAACGTTCTAAGTACTATTGTAAGAGTTATAAGAAGCTTACATTTTTATATTAAGTTTTAGATGTTTATAGCAGACCATTAGAGTTATGAAAAAAAACTCAATTTATGAAACCATTGAAAATAGCAAGGTATCATTCAGGTACTTAATATTTGTGCATTTTCATAAGTATGGGCAAGAGAAATTTGTGTAATAGTTGAATACAATGAAAATATCTTAGTCGATTAAAAATTAAAAATATTTTTGAAATAAAAATCAAAATATTTTTATCTATTGAAAGAAGTTATTGAAATTAGCTGTATTTTGTGTTTATTGCACATTTTTATTGTGCATGCAAATAAAAGTGCATAATTATAATTTGCCTGCACCATACGTTGAATTGAAAAATTTTCCCCAATAAGCTGTTGAAATGATAACGTTTGAAAACGCCAACGGAATAAGTAAAACTTATTCTTTGTAGAATTAAAATTTTATAAAGCACATATAATACAAAAACAAAACTTGCTTTCAATGTTAAACATGTCGTATGTATATTTAAAAGCAAGCTTTTTAATGAAATGAAAATGTTAAATGGATGTTTTTGTTAATAATGTAGCAGAGTAGCCAATGTGTATAAGTGCTATTTTATGTACTGATACTATCTTAACTGTGAAGGAGCCGCTTATAATAATACGTTGTTTAATAAAATAACTAAACGAACGGCTCCAAAAATCGTGCATTTAATATAAGATTTGAATTGATGAGTTTCGAGCAATTAATTAAACTAAAAATTTATCAAACCAAGTTGCTCGGACAAAACTTTATGATACGTAAGTGAAGGATATTCACAAAAATTATATGATTGTGTAAAGTATGATAAACAACGATCCTTGAATGTTTATACTTAATAAGTTGAAATGTTCACTGTTAACGTGTATAAGATTTCGAAAGCTCAAGTATCCAGCAAATGTAAAATAATATATTATAGATATGTTTTGTAACTTTAGCCGCAATTTTGCAAAATTTAGAATTCACTTTGATGACAAATTAGAAGTTGAGAGTATAAAGTAAGAGAGTATAAAGCAGAGTTTGAAGTAAAATAAATTTTATGTACTCACTGAATTGATAAAAAGGAGAAATAAATAAAAAATTAGATTTGAGGAAATCTTTGAATTAATCGAAAGCTCGTTGCATTATTGTCATTTAATTTTCACGCGTATAATCAATATCAAATCTTAATAATCACTTTCACCTCTGCTTCAATAATATCAATAATAATAATAATAATTCATATATAATACACGCATACACTGCAGCATGGCTGGGGGACATGGATGTGGCGCGCATAGCTTCGCTTTCACGTATATATAGGTCTATGTGCACACGCGTTACACACGAGGCCGCCGCCGCCGCCGCGCACTGCACATATACACACATTTCTCATTCACTGGCTCTCGACGCATTCAGACGATTCACTCTCCGAAAGGATCGTGCGGCAAATACGTGCATTACATATGAGAACAATGTGTCTTAATATGTCGGAAATGTCATAAGCGTTTCGCGCTCGTGCAGCAGCACCCCCTCCACACCCCCTCTGCACTGCATCCGATCTATACATAATGCGCGTATTCGTGCCGACGCGCACACGCGCCAATTTTTTCTTGTCCGCGCCCGCGTGGATGAGCGATAATTGAAAATTTCAATTTCGCAATACACGTGTACGTGCGATAGAGTATAAGTGCGCGACAAGTTTTCTAATTCGACAATTTAATATCGAGGCTGCTGCTGCTGC